ACGTTATTTAATCTTCTCAATAAATTCTAAATTCTTCTCAAAAGAAGATCTTGGAGCCGAACCATGACTTGAACTATGACGAAGCCAATCTTAAGTGCAAATTAATGCTTGGATCATTTTAGGGGTTATCGAAGCGTGGAAATCACAATCATTGAATCAAATTAATGCTTTTATAACATATATATATAGGGGGAGGATCCAATGAGTCCACTCTTTAAAATGAGTCAACTCCTTAAAATATATATTAATTAAATAATAAAATAATTATTAATTGACTCCGGCGTTGACCGTTAACTCCCGGCGTTGACCGTTGACTTCCGGCGAAAATCGTTGACTCTGGCGTTGACCGTTGATTTCCGGCGTTGACATGTTGCCCATGGTTTGCAATATGTATGAAGTAAATATGCATCTAGTACCATGCATTCAATATGAATTAAATATGCATGAGATATGAATTGCACGTGCAGTCCTTATGAACTAAATATGCACCAATAATATCTACTAAATATGCACCTGTTAATAACTAAATATGCATCTGTTATGAACTAAATATGCATCATGAATGAACTAAATATGCAGCGAAAAATATGCAATAAAATATATATTTTATATAGGTAATTTATAATGCATATTTAGTTAATTTATTATGAATATTTAGGTAATTTATGATGCATATTTAGTTAATACGAAATACATACTTGTTATATTTAAATTAAATATATAATGATGTTTATATAATTAATATATGATGCATATTTAGTTAATTCATGATACATATTTAGTTCTTACGAAATGCATATTTAGTTCATGAACAGTGCATACCTATTTTATTTGAGCTCCAATCATAACAATTTATTTGTGTTATTAAACAATTTAAAATTAAAATTAATTATATAATAAAAATCATTAATTATTATATTTAATTTAATTGTATAAAATGTGTATTTTATTAAATATTTTCGTTGCATATTTAGTTCATTCATGATGCATATTTAGGTAGTAAAATGTGCATATTTAGTACATGAACAGTGCATACATAGTTGATATTATTTGTGCATATTTAGTTCACAAGGATAACATATATGATTCATTTCTGATGCATATTTAGTTCATACTAAGTGTGATGGGTCTCTTCTCAGATCTGGAACGGTCAAGTGGGAAAACGTCCGGATTTGGGACGAACCGGTGTGAATGAGCTTAGATATGATGTGATGGCGTTCGAACCGTTGTTGAGCCGCAAGAACACCTGCAAGAACTCAACGCCGGAGGGGTTTCCGGCGTAAAGCCTCCGACGCTCAAGTCAGTATATGAGAGGGATGATGGGAGCTGCTATGAGCAGCAGCAGTAATGAAAAGGGTATGGAATGAATGGGAGTTAGGGTTTTGGGATTACCTCAGTCCTTTATATAGAAGTGCAATATTTACCTGAAGTCCCCAAAGTGCCCCGACCGACTCAATGGAAATGTCCAAAATACCCCGGTCGGTTTGCATTCTGCCCACTTCCTAGTCAGCATCTAGATCCTTCCTTAGTTTCCTTCTTATCCTTAACTCTTCTTCAATATGCTAAGGTGTGTCAAAGCTATCGGGAACCACGAGCTGCAAGACTCCTTCAGTCGACTTGAGATATTGAGTCGAGTCGACTGGATCGCACCCCACCGTTAGTGGACCCTGATACGTCTGATCGCTGTCTTGCCAGAGGTCGACTTGTTCTAGTCGACAGGTGTACGTCGACTCGGTCGGGGACCGGGCTTCTTGATTGAGTACCGTGGAACCCTACTGGCGGAGTCGACTGTATTGAAATCAACTTGGCAGTTTCGAATCGTGATGATATGAACCGTTACTCGACAGTATGGCTATATCATCTAGTCCCCCCCCAAAATTACTCGAAGCGATTCTGAGCTTACGAGTAGATTTTGTCGACTGGATGTTTTCCTCGAATCTTTCCATATGTCCCGTCATCAGTTATCTCGGGTTGCATCCATTCATTACCTCAACTTGTAATACGACTCGTTTTACGCGAATTTTAATTTGATTAGATAAGTCTGAATCTTTTCAAATTTCAAAATTCAAAAGATAACATTTTCTCTCTCCGCCGCTTCGTATTCTGTGCCCCATCTTGGCCGTGGAAAATGACTTTAATCCGAGGGCTGGGGTTTCTTTGCCCTCTCTATAAGTAACCCTCGCCTTTCCTCTTCATCATTTTTCGCACTCGCCTCCTTCAAGCTCTCTGTCTATCTCCGGCAATCACAGCTTTCTCAAGTTTCCCGGCGCTATA